AAAAAAAAAAAAAAAAAAAAAAAAAAAAAAAAATTTTTCTTTTTGAACGTATAAAAAACTATGCAAAAAGGAATATTCAGAGCAAGGCCATTCCTTCTGTTCGCACCTACCCAGTGCATGTAGGTAACTTATTATAGTTTCTGGTTATCACTCCTGTATTTGTTTTTTCTGTCAAAAAACTACACTTCCTCAAGGTGAGGTAGAGAAATGAGGCAGAGGCAGATGCAGTGGCTCATGCCTGTAATCCTAACACTCTGGAAGGCTGAGGTGGGTGGATTGCTTGAGCCCAAGAGTTTGAGACCAGCCTGGGCAACACAGTGAGATCCCACTGCTATTTATAAAAACAAATAAAAAGAAATGAGGCAGTCACTGAAGCAGAACACTGGATCAAGAAACAATTTTATTTTAAAATGGGAGATAGACTGTAAAATAATATAAATGATTATGTGGCAACTGACAATTTGATGATGTAGGAGAGAGTATGATAAACTGCAGAGGGAAATATATATCAAAATATCCTCTGGTTTAATTTCAGGGATATCAAAGGGTTCTCATATCCCAAAATAGATTGCCATCCTGTTTGTAACCTTCCAAATTAGTTGTAACTATATCTCCAGAGAACCCACATTAAAATGGTTTTATTTTATCAAGATAATTAAGCCATCACTACTTATTAATATCAATAGGATACACTGTGCCCTAGCAAAGGGGAGGTTTTGAACTTGGAACATGACATTTAACTAGGAGTAGAGTGGTGGGAAGGGAATGGTTGATGTAAGGAGCTGAATAAAAAACATGGGATGGACAATAATGATTTTGCTGGAAAAACAAACACGTCTGTCAGGTCTTGGATATTTTACACACATGCTAACGAGTAATTGAGGGTCACCTCTCATGCCCTCATGGCACAGAGGAAAGAACATGGACTTTAGAAGCACAGAAGTCTTTGCTTTGAATCCCAGTTGAGTTACTTAATGGCTACATGACCACTGCCAAGTTACTTAAAATCTCACAGGGAATTTCCTTACTTGTGGAAGTAGACAATGCCAAGTTATTGTGAGTTATAAGTAGAATAACTTACAGCACTGCCCCAGCCCAGGAGAGATATTTTAATAAATAAGTCCATAACAGATGCAGATTAAAACAGTCAGTAAGGTAAAGAAGCTAATGACACAGCCAGCTGTCTTCAATAACATGCCAAAGAGAAATCACACCATCTCAGGCAGTATTTGGTAAGGGCAGAAAAATGTCCAACACTTAGTTCCAATTCTTAACCTTCAAATCGCCCCAGAGTCTATTTTTAAAGTTTAAAAGTATGTGCTGACATACTTACATGCCAATTGTTTAAAAGAAACAATTCTACAGGTTAACAATGGCCAACGACTCTGAATAACTTCCTAAATAATGTCTATGGGCCCACAAAGAGATGAACCAACCCAAATGTATCACAAGCCATATTAATCAGTTGTATACGGCCGGGCGCGGTGGCTCAAGCCTGTAATCCCAGCACTTTGGGAAGCCGAGGCGGGTGGATCACGAGGTCAAGAGATCGAGACCATCCTGGTCAACATGGTGAAACCCCGTCTCTACTAACAATACAAAACATTAGTTGGGCATGGTGGCGCGTGCCTGTAAT